ATTGTTGCCTTGAAAAACACTACGACCCTTCCATTTCTTTTGGGGATGTCCATCCGGGAGCTCGTCCCCTTTGACCGAACAAATCTCAAAGATCTTCCCGAAATGGGCCTTGACATTCTTGTGCTTGGCTTCAGCCGCCACGTCACGGTACTCCCGAACTTGCTTCTCGAGCCAGCAAGACTTGTCAGCAAGTTTCTTCCACTCACGATCCATAGCTTCTTTTGCTGCGGGAGTACTCTCAATCTCTTTAGACCCGACAACCCTGGCAACCAAGGCAAACATCTCACCCGCAACCTGACCAAGCTTCTCCCAATATAAGGACGCCATGCGCTCTCTATGGGGCTCAGGGTCAGGTTCAGTGACGACAGGCATAGCCGGGGAGTCTCTGAGGGCCTTGCGAGCGTCTTCCTCAGCTTCACGGGCCTTTTTGCGTTCATACCTTTCAATGTCAGCCTCCCGTTGTGCCTTGGAATACATGTGCCAGAATTCCGAAGGGGTATCGGGCGGCCTCTTGGAACCTTTCTTATCCCTGACCAATCTAACCCCATCCCAGTTGTACCCCTTGGGGACTTTCCTCCCATCGGGCATGGTCTTAGGGTCATGTCTCGGTAAGGTGGAGGAAGGCCTTGGGCTCAGTCGTTGCAGCCTTAGAGGATTTAGGAATGTCCCTCCCCAACCAGTCCTCCTCAGCTCCGACGTCTTCAGGAACGTAGTCCTCGTTTTCCTTAGCCACTTGGTCTAAGTACTCGGACAGACGTTCCTTCAAATCGGAGTCGTCCAGATTAGGTGCACCGGGCGATGACGAAGACCCGCCCGGCGTTTCCCCAGATGGGGCGCGTGGTTCAGTACCTTCCGTTCTGTCGCCACGAGCAGTCCTGATCTGAGAGGGCCGGCTTGCGGAGGCTCTCCTGCAGTGCAAGCTGCTCTGACCTCATTGGGAACGTAAAGTCCCCAGGCAACAACTCCATCCGCTTGGACCTCAGAATGGGGAAGTTTCCAATCTCGAACGCAAAATCGCAGCCCTTGACAGGAGTGACAAGATATTCCTCCTTCCAAATGAAGCCAGGCTGAATGTGATATCCAAGAAAGATTCCCTCAACACCAGTCGGCGCAAACTTAGAGTCCGCAGGAACGTTCTGTTTGGGGTTGTTCCAGTACAACACACGTGCACCAAAAGGAATCATTAACCCTAAAAAGGGTTCCCCATACCTGGCCTCCCAGGGAACAATTCCGTTGTCAAGCCTCTTAGTTGCATTGAGGGCCATTGCGTGGTGTTGGGCGGCCAACGGCCAGAGCTTGTCGGGGAGACCCGCCTGAACAAGGTTGGAACGTGTCCCTTCCAGAATCGTGCGAATCTCTCTTTCGATTACCGACTTGTTGGTGTCCACATATTCACGTGATGTAACATGTCGAACACCAAGGCTTTTGATAGCTGCATGAAGTTCAGGTGCGTTGTCGGAGTAGAAAACCCCAACTGTGTCTTCTTGACCTAGGAAGTGAAGCAGGTCTTCGTAACACTGATCGCTTGACTTAGTCGGAGAAGGGTAGACGTAACGGAATTTGGTGAACACGTCTTTAACAACCAGTGCGACCCTTTCGTCCTGGAACCCATGATCACGGAGGTCACGAGTGATGATATGGTCAACAGTGATGTGGTCCCCAAAGGCCTTAGACACAATGGTGCTTGAGCCCCCCTTTTTGCGGGCTTGAGGGGCCAACATCTTGGCGCGCTGACATACCTCACGGAACGGGTTTTTGGGTCTGTGCGAGAACAGGTGTTCAACCGATTTGGCTTCAGCTCTCAGATCGGCCTCCGCAAGACTGCGGGCGTTTCCTTCGTTGTCACTATCAGGCTCAGCTTCGGGGTCTTCGAAGAGCGTGAGGCTAAGGACAGGATTACCCTCCAGTTTGGCGGCTTTGTTGTCCAGCTCCCTAACATTCACTCGATCTTCAACCTTGACCCAAGAACCTTCCCTGAACAACCAAGTAGATCTGATTTCGCATTTCGGAAACCTTGGTGCGGCAGTGCGAAACGTCTTTGGTTTGTGTCCGACAAGTAAGTACTTTGCGTTCGGGTGCGAAACCCAACCTGGTCTTTTGAGCTTTTCTTTGGGGATGTCTATTGGCGGCACCTCATTTACGGCTACTGAGATCTCAGGATCGGGGTGCTCGATCACTGGATCTCGGTCCTCTGCTGCTCCTGCGAAAGCCCCGGCCAGCCCTATTGGGCGGCAGTTTTCTGAAAACCCTCGGACAGAATTGGCCGTCCGAGAGATCCTGAGGCTTCTTCGTTGGTACTTGGGGCGGCCATTGCTCCTCCCCCAAGGACAGGCACCATACCTCTCATTCTACACCTTAGTCTTTGACCATTGGGCGCAACGAAGTAAGGCGGCTTTTTGGGGTACCAATGGAACTCATAACCGTCCTCCATACACCTTCTTCCAACAGAGCAAACAGGAGGAGTGCTTGCGAGAACGTAGAACTCTAGCTCTTTGCCAAACTCCGGGAAGTCGATCCTGACCGATTTGTCACCCTTGACATTTCCGTTAGCAGTGATGAGGTTTACTTGTCGAGTTGCATTGCCTATCGGCTCTTCGCCAAAGTACATAGCACGATCAGCTTCGCTGATGAGGTCCTCCTCGCTCCCCGTATCAGCAAGGAATTCTAAGGGCGTGGCGATTCCTGGACAGGCGATCTCTGAGCTCTCAACGACGTGCTTGCACATCCCACACATGAGAGAATCAGGCTCATCACATTCTAAACGGCAGTCGGTTCTCTCTCCCCCCTCATGCCGGGCAAGGAGCATAGTGAGTTCCCTTGCGTTCCTAATTGCAACCTGAAGGTCATTGTTGTCAGGTTTGGGGCAATTTTCCGCATCAGCATAGCAAGTGTTGTACCTGCGAACTTTGTAGGAATGCTTGTACCCCTTCCCTTCAAAAGGAATTTCCCTGACTTTGGGCTTTTCACAAAACTTGACCTTCTTGTTTTGTTCTTTGATTTTGAACACAGTCTTGCCAGTCCATGGCGTCTTGTCGTTCGTCTCCCCTTTTCCCCCTTTCCAATCCCAACTCTCCCTTGCCATGTAGGGAGCAATGGGAAGAGTCTTGATCACCTTGGCTTTACCCTTCAACTTCTCAAGAGCAACAGGACACGACACTTCGGGCTTGTACATTGTACTTCTGTACTTCAGGTGATGTCTGATAGCTTCACCCCTTTTGAAATCCACCTCCCAGTAATCCCTCTCTCCATCTTGTGGGTCGCCTCCATCAGGATGGGTTAAGGCTGCAGCCGCAATCGAGATGCAGCATGCTGCCTTCCTGTCCTTTTCCTTAGAGCGACCACGGCTTGGTTTTCTGCGCGTTGGCGCAGGCGACGGAGACCTTGGTTTGTCTGGGTCCTTAGGAGCCGGGGCTGCATTTTCACCACCTGTGGGAGCAGGGCTTGGTTCCCTATGCAAGAAACGACACTTATCTCCCCTAGTACACTTGCCCTTTTTCCAAAAAGTACATACCTGTTTCTTCTTCGGGGCGGTGCGAACAGGTGACTGCGAGCGTGGTTTGTGCGAGAACTTGCACTTGTCACCCCTGGTGCACTTACCCTTTTGAAAGTCGTAGCAAACTGGCTTTGGGCTTGGTGAGCGACTAGGTGATCTAGACCTGGACGGGGTCCTAGAGCGAGACCTTGACTTCGAGTTGGATTGGCTACCGGCAGAGCGATCCCTTCCCCGGCCACTCCTTGACGGAGGGCGTTGCGGCCTTCCGCCTTCAAGTACGGGAGCTCCAAACTTGTCCCCATGCGACTTAGCGATCCTATCCCTATTCTTGCGCATCCTTTCACGGGTTAGCAAATCCCGAATGGACTTCAACAAGAGCGCGTAGGAATGTGAAGCGGAACCTTCCTTGGCCCTATCATAGATCTCCAAGTCATATTTCATTCTTGAGGACTTGCGGATTTGGCGGAGAAGGATGTCACGCAGAACCATTTCTTCTGGGACATGACTCATACCAGCGATGACTGACTCCCAATTATGCAGAAACGTAGTCAAATCGTCACTATGCAGCGTGACCTTCAAAAGGTCTTCTACTGAATAGAGCGACCCTACTTCTTCATTGGTTTTGAAGTACTGATCAAACATAAGCAATACCTGGCGTCCTCGTACCGCACGTCCATGGACCGCCTCAGTTTCCTTGAAGGTGAGCACCTGTCGAGATAACTCTCCCTTGGCGACCTTGGTAAGCGCGGCTAGGATTTTGGTATCCAGCGTGAGGAACTTTCCTGGTTCACGGAGCTTGTCATGATCAGCATCCTTCGCGTAAACCTCTAAAATCCAAGAGAAAGCTTCATCTGGTCTGTCTGAGGCTGCCCTAACCGCTTCCCGAGTTGCTGTTTTCCACGCACGATACGTTTCGGGGTTGGGGAAGTCCGGCAAACGAATGTTCTCAGCCTCTTTGACCTTTGGTTTGTCATTTTCGCCGCTTTTGTCTCCCTTGAGGAGTTTGGCGGCTTCCAGCAACGCTTGTTGCGTCTGTGCGATTAAATCAACTCCAGTGGCTGCCGGACTAGCCGGCGTGCCCATTGGGGCCGCGAGACCAGACACTCCTCCACCTAAGCCAGTCGGGGGCACAGGGGTTCCCGGGGCTTGTGTTGGAGCTTGTGGCCCCGCTGGTGTGGCAGTAGTTGCCGCACCACCAAAACCGGAAAACATTGCTCTTAGGCTGAGCAGGATCACGCTTGGCGATGAAAACTGAGGAGCTGTCGGCACATTAAGGCCGGCACTTTGCGGTACCGTTGCTGGGGTCACGGCCGGAGGGAACTGAGCTTGGGACGCAGTGTCCTGAGAAGCATTCCTGTCCTGCTCGAGTTTGAGCGCACGCTCAGCTGAGGAGAGTTCGTCCTGAAGAACATCATTTTGACGCCTCATTTCCTCTTCACTCTCGCGGGCAAGTAACCTATACTGCTGCATTGCTTGATCATGTTCCCTACCAAACCACTCTCCCACCTCATTGAGGGTTTGTGTTCTCCTCTGCTTCTTCGATTAAAGTTGTTCGAAGTTGCGTGATCTGCGAACTAACGCTGGAAAAATGTTCCGTTTGGAAAGCGATGACTTGGTGTTGTTGTCGCAGCTCTGACACGAGATGATGATTGGCTTCGATAAACTGATATCGTTGTGTGGCAATCTCGGATTCGAGCTGTGCAACGATCTCCTCATGCTGTCGATTTGCTCGTTCTTCAACATTGGCGATTCTTTGATCATGAGCGTATTCGGCAGCCTGGCGGAACCTCTGGTGCCTGTTTTCTGCTTCAGTTTCAAGTTCACCGAGAAGCGATCTGGTTTGTTCCGGAGATTCACCGACCATGATGTTTTGCTGGAAATTCTGTCGATACATATGCAACTGTGGTGCGAACGGTACGGCCGCAAAAGGAGTTCGGGCGTTTGGCTCAAACACATTAGTGCCCGCTGCGCCCCCTTCCAGAGCACCGTTCGGAACAACTTGCTCAGAAGCAGTCTGAGGTAGAAGCATGTCGTCAGATTCCAGATCGGTTGCCACTTCGGTGGGAACCAGCTCGGGGCTGTCTCCCATACACCAGTGTTTGCCAGAGTAACCAGAGGCGCCGCAGACTCAGTAGAGCCTACGGCTGATAACCTATAGTTTGGGAAATCCACCAATGCAATCCGTTAAGCCATGAAACACAGGCGCACTTCTACCTTTTTGTCTCAGAGGGCTTGAGTGCGATAGGTGCAACATACATGAAGGCAAAAGTGGCAAGGAGGTCCGAATATAAAATACAATAAGGCCTGCAGCTACAAAGCAAGACCCCTAAAAATCATCAGGTTGGGATGCCGTCCCCCTAAACCCTAAACCCTAAACCCTAAACCCTGAACCCTGAAGCCTGAACCCTGAACCCTGAACCCCGAACCCCGAACCCCGAACCCTGAACCCAGAACACTAAACTAAACTAAACCTAAACCCTAAACCCTAAACCCAAATTAAACCCTACACCCTAGTTAAACCCTAAACCCTAAACCCTAAACCCCAAACCCCAAACCCTAAACCCGAAACCCTAAACCCTAAACCCTAAACCCTAAACCCTAAACCCTCAACCCTAAACCCTAAACCCTCGCCTCAGTGCTGCGCAAAGGGAGCCGCGGACTCCCGAGTCGCCAGGGAAGCAGCGAAGCAGCCTTGGCCGCGCTGGCCAACCTTCTCTTCTTAGGGTTCGTAGGGTAGGGGAATGTTCAGAATTTAGGGTTTAGGGTTTAGGGTTTAGGGCGCAGAGTTTTGGGTTTAGGGTTTAGGGTTTAGGCTGCCGAGTTTAGGGTTTTCAGTTCAGGGAGTTGCGGGTTTTGCGTTAAGGGTTTAAGAGTTTAGGGTTTGGAGCTTAGGACTTAAGGTGAACCAGGGTTCAGGGGTTCGTGGGCTCCTGGGGTTGAGGTGAATTTTTCAACCGCATAAACTAAACCCTAAAACAAAAACCTAAACCCTAAATCCTAAACCCTAAACCCTAAACCCTAAACCCTAAACCCTACACCCTAAACCCTAAACCCTAAACCCCCTGAAACCCCCTAAACCCTAAACCTTAAAACCCATCAACATGAATCAGGGCGGAGAGGTGTCGTGGAGCTTAAGCTCGGGGCGTTCAGACTTTTCTGGGTTGGGGATGAAGGTCTGAGAGTTGAGGAGGTAAACCCTAAACCCTGAACCCTAAAGAGGGGAGGGGAGTGAAGGGGAGGAGAGGGGAGCAACCAATGGTTCAGAGTTTAGGGTTTAGGGTTTAGGGTTTTGGGTTTCGTAGATAGGATTATAGGATGTTCCCTTACAACAACAAATCAACTTTCTGGCCATCTCTTCGTTTGGTGTACAACTGGTCACCTCTCGGCAACGTCCCAATCTTTACACCACCGTAAACCCTAAACCTTGCCCTAAGTCCTGCACTCTCTGAATCCTAAGCGCTAAACTTGCCCTAAACCCTAAACTTTTTTCCTAAACCCTAAACCCCCTAAACCCTAAACCCTAAACCCTAAACCCTAAACCCCCTTAAACCCCCTAAACCCTAAGTACGCTCCCAAGCAACAGCGGCGGAGCTTGCGCCGGTCGCACGTCGACCTCGAGTTTGGCCTCGCGCCGGTAGCTCGGGGGCGGCCGACCTGGTTGCCACAGGCGCCGGGCCAGCATCCTGGGGCATTTTTAAGGGTTAAACCCTTAAAACCCTAGACCTTATAAACCCTCAACCCTAAATCCAAAACCCTAAACCCCAAAGGGTTTAGGGCTTAGCTGCTGGTGCTTGCAAGCGCCGACAGGTCCGTTTTGAGATTCAGGAGGGCGTCTTGACCGCCAAGCCCAAAGCCCTATGCGGCTGCTAGACTCCTAGACTCCTAGGGTTTAGGGTTTAGGGTTCAGCCCCCCCGAACCTGCAAGTTAGTAGGTTGAAGCCCTCCAGTTGCAGCCAACTTCTCCAACAACAACCAGGAATAGACGAGGCCCCGAGGCTAAAAGTTCAGCTTTGGGCTTATAAGTAAGGTAACCGGGGACCTGGGAAAAACCTCAGTGACCTTGCAGATGGGGCTCGGGACGCCCTTCTGTAGGGCCTAAACCCTCAACCCTAAACCCTCAACCCTAGAACCCTAGAACCCTAGAACCTAAACCCCAAACCCTGAACCCTAAACCCTAAACCCTAAACCCTAAGCCCTAAACCCGAAACCCTAAACCCGAAACCCCAAACCCTAAACCCTAACCCTAAACCCTGAAATCCTAAACCCTGGTCCCCGAAACCCTCCTAGGCCCTGTGGGGGAAGGGGCCTCTGTGCTCAGTCCGAGTTTTGGGTCTGCACAGGGCGGGGCTGAAAGCTCAGCCGGAAGGCTTGTTTTGTGCCTTATCAACCCTAAACCCTAAACCCTAAACCCCATAAGGCCCTGTAGTGAAACTAAGTGCGCCCTAAACCCGCCCCATAAACCGTAGATAAGGTGCATGTAGCTAGGGTTTAAGGTTTGGGTCCGGTTTAGTAGGGTTTAGGGTCTGTGGTTTAAGGTTTAGGGTTTAGGGTTTAGGATTTAGGGTTTAGGGCTCGCAAATTATTTTCACTTCGAACATCCCCACCCTCTTTTGGTAGAGATACTCTGGGGTTGGGCACTCCAGGGACACTCTGGGGCTGGGCACTCTGGGGACACTCTGGGGTTGGTTGGGCACTCCAAAAAAATCTCTCGGGCTGGGCACTCCGGGGAACACCTGGGCACTCCAGGGAGACTCTGGAGTTGGGCACTCCAGAGACACTCTAGAGTTGGGCACTCCAGGGACACTTTGGGGTTTGGCACTCCAGGGATGAGCGAGGAGTAGACGGGCGAGGAGAAGAGTTCCGGGCGAGGAGAAGAGTTCCGGGGCGAGGAGAAGAGTGGAATTTAAAATCTAACAACCCCACACCAAGGGTGGGGAGCAAACAGCTCTTCTGACCGAGGCTCGCAGTGACCGCCACCGCGGCCGTGCTGCGCACCTCTGTGGCGGCCCAGGCACGCACTTGTTTTTGGACCCTGCAGGTTTAGGGTTTAGGGTTTAGGGTTTAGGGTTTAGGGTTTAGGGTTTAGGGTTTAGGGTTTAGGGTTTAGGGTCTAGGGTTTTGAGTTTAGGGCTTCGGGTTTAGGGTTTAGAGCTCAGGGCTTACAAGGTTTCTGGGTTTAGTGGCACAGCTTTCTGGAGGGCTGAACCAACGCCCTTAACGTCCAGAAAACTTGCATAGAGCTCCTTCAATTTCTTTGAACCAGAATTTAAAGCATCCCAAGCCTTTACCCTAAACCCTAAACCCTAAACCCGAAACCCTAAACCTTAAACCCTAAACCCTAAACCCGAAACCCTAAACCTTAAACCCTAAACCCTGAACCCGACTAAACAGACTGAAGCTCGGAGTTGAGGGTGCGCAGCTTTCTAGACCAAGGCTTCAGGCGCTTTAAGGGTTTAGGGTTTAGGGTTTAGGGTTTAGGGTTTAGGGTTTAAGTCCTTGGAGGCCCAAAACGGATTTATGGGGCCGTTCAGCGGCGACCAGAAAAAAGTTGATTTGTCATACATTGCGTTGAGCTTTAGGTCTTCTAAACTCAGGTTGAGGGTTCAGGGTTTGGGGACCCTAAACCCTCATCCTAAAACCTAAACCCTAAACCCTAAACCCTAAACCCTAAACCCTAAACCCTAAACCCTAAACCCTAAACCCTAAACCCTAACCCCCAAGCCCTAAACCCTAAACCCTAAACCTCCGAAGCCACGGCACCGCGGCAGTCTCGCCCTCAAGGACCAAGATCCGCTCGCCGTCGCCCAGCGACGCGCCCAGCGTGGCTGCGGAGGCGCCAAACTTCAAGGCCTGCTTTGTTGAGGGGGGTTTAGGGTTTAGGGTTAAGGGTTTAGGGTTTAGGGCTTAGGGTTTAGGGTTCAGGGTTTAGGGTTTAGGGTTTAGGGGGGCTTGGGATTTGCTGCTTGAGGGGCTTGGGGCGTTTTTGGGTGTGGGGTATAGGGGTTCAAGGGCCTTGGATGTCTTCAAGGTCGTTGAAAGCAGCTCGTGCTCAAAAGTGCTTCTGGAGCCACCTAAGAGTACTAAAGGTCTGCACGGGCAGAAAGATAGGCCGAGGAAACTGATCACGAAAAAGGGATTGGGATGCGAAAGAAAGGGCTGGGGCTAAGGAAGGCTTTTGCAAGTGAAAGGTGTGCCCAGGGTGGGCTTCGGGCTTCTTCAAACGATCCAGGCTCAGGGTTCTGCCTAGGCGTTTACGGTTTAAGGTTGAGGGCTAAGGGCTTTCTATTCTTAGCAGCTTCGCATGCCGAGGCCGATGCTTCCCTTACACCCGAAGTCCCCAACCCTAAAACCAAACCCCCCCCCCCCCCCCAGCCCCAGGAACAGACAAAACAACAAGGGTGCCCATGAAGGGCGCAGGGCTTAGGCGATCTACAGTAGGGTCCACAGTCTTGGTGTTCTTTTCTCACACTTTTTTTTTTTTTTTGGGGGGGGGGGGGGGGTTCTGAGGCAAAACCCTGGACCCCTAAACCGTAAACCCATGAACCTAAACCTACATAGGGTTTCGGGACTACCTTAACCCAACACCCCGAGGCCTCCACACGGCAATCCTCCTCAAGGCCTTCCTTGGGCAAGGAGGGCTTCGGTCTGAAGGGTGCGGGATTTATGTGAACTGTCACGCGGACACTCCTGAAGCACCCCATTAAGGTACCCACAATTTCGGAGGGAAACCCCCCGCAGCCCACGTCGTCCGGTGCGGAATCCGAGGTCATTGCACGAAACCGTGCATGACACAGGAATGAACTTATTATGTCAATTGCAAGAGCACTTGTCGAAAAGTCGGTTACTGTACACTGTACGTGCAGAGGCTGCCTGCACAACTTTAGGCTTGGGAATAAGTGCACATGAGCAATTGGACAGAAATTCATCCAAAAGATTTGATTGATCGGAACAATCCATCCGCAGATGGCCACAAAGCGAGCGTACCATATGTGTGTATATATATAAAAGCCTGTAAATATATACATATAATATGTGTATATATTTGTTTATATAGATTTCAAAGGTTTATTGGGGCCTTGCGACTGCCTA